GCGCGTGCGTGCACGTGTGTGTGTGAAATCATTGTTATAAGTATCCCTCAAAGACACCATAAGCACTGATTTTTTTAACCCAGAACCTGTGATACCTGGTGTTTTCACTCGGAAAGGTGTCATGGATTAACGTCGTTTCATTGTTGTTCGTCGACAACTTTAGCACTACTTCTAAAGTGACAATGAATGTGAAAATGAATTACCAAGGATATCTACGATGTAAAAAACACTGTGTACTTTAAGAAACAGCCCAAAAACTACATTCCAATGCATCCCTAATAAACCTTCCATACACCCCTCACATAAAGGGGGCATTATAAAGGTCACTGAGCTAAATTTACTAGGAACACCTGCATTGCCCATCCAAGGTACGCAGTTACTGTGATGAATCACCGAGACATGCACAACAAATATGTGTGTAACGTATGTTTACTAGACATGTTTACAATGGTATCCGTGTTCCTTATTTATTTGTTTATTCAATATTTTCTTCTGGACGCTCGAGTGTCTAAATGAATTACACGAAAACGAAACATGTTTTTCTAGATGGTGTGCAAAGGTACAGCCACGTTTGCATTTGCATAAAACGTTTCTTTTTAAAATGAATTGCGAAAATGAAACATGCAAAATCCAGAGTCCAAAGACGATTCATGCAAGACAGTTTAAATAACCGGAATAACACGTTACGGACGAAGACTTCTGACGTTATGCCGTGGTGACATTTTCTCATTCTTTATCAGTTTGCAGGGAACATATTTCCACAGATGTACAATGTGGAGTTCTAGGTTCTGAGGCCACTCGAAAATCGGGGACTCTGGGAAGACTCGCGTCGCCTCTGCATTTCATATGTACCATGACTTACTGATGAACTTTGCAAAGTTGAGTTGTTGACAATATAACCCTAGCCAGTGTTTGAACCGGAGGTAAAGCTACAAATCTGAATTGTACTCAAGGTGTCTTCGCTGTAAGTGGATGTCATGTGTAAGTTGTGTGACGGTTCACATCGCAGTAAGCCGAGACTAACTAATTATATATCGCGGTGACCTTCTGGAATCTGGAGCAAGGAAACCTGGGTTAATAGAGTCACAAAGTATAATGAATTATAAATGATGACAAGATTTATTTTATAGGAGTGGTGGAAGGGCAGGACATACTTCTCTTTCTGCAAATGTTAAGTTAGCAGTTACACGTACTTCATAGATACTTTGCCTGTTATAATTCGGTGGATAATAGAGGTTTCATACGTTCTTCACACCTATTGGCATGTTATGATTCGGTGGATAATAGAGGTTTATGCATTTCACACATATTGGTCTGTTGTGATTCGGTGGATAATCGAGGTTTTGTTAGTACTTCACGCCTATTTACCTGTTATGATTCGATGGATAACAGAGGTTTTGTCATATGTACTTCACACATATCTGCCTGTTATGATTCGGAGGATAATAGAGATTGTACATGTACTTCATATCTATTTGCCTGGTATGATTCGGTGGATAATAGACAAATAAGTGTGAAGTACTTAAAAAATCTCTATTATCCACCGAATCATACCAGGCAAATAGATATGAAGTACATATACAACCTCTATTATCCACCGATTCATAACAGACAAATAAGTGTGAAGTACTTAAAAAATCTCTGTTATGTTAGTTCACACCTATTTGCCTGTTAATAATTCGGAGGTTAATAGAGGTTTTATATGAACCTTGTCTTTTGTAAAGCAATCTCGAAGTGTTTTGTCGAAGGTGTATGTATTTGTAATAGCATGCGACTGTTGAAGGTTGTTTTGCTGATAGTTATCGGAGCCTGTGGTTGCCACCCTTTGCTGTCATTGTGACATCCATGGGACTTACATGGCCGTGCAATAATTTGTGTCCTTGATAATTCCATGGTAGGGAGTTCCAATCTCAGATTCTCCCTGGACAATGATTCTTCGTTTACGTGAAGTGTACCTGTGTTTGAGGGTTTGATCAACGTTCATGACCTCATTGCGTCGGGTGTTCCTTCCACATCAAGCTGTTGAAGTTACTGAGGTGCAGGTCTAATCGGCGTTAAACCCAGCTCTTTCATTCTGTGGGGCGGTGGGGTAGCCTAGTGGTTAAAGCGTTCGCTCGTCACGCCGAAGACCCGGGTTCGATTCCCCACATGGGTAAAATGTGTGAAGCCCATTTCTGGTGTCCCCCGCCGTGATATTGCTGGAATATTGCTAAAAGCGGCGTAAAATCAAACTCGCTCACTCACTCACTCTTTCATTCTGTAATAGGGTAACGGCATTATCGGACTCGCATCTATATACAAAAGTTTTAAATGGTAATGGGTGCTATTTGTGTTCTTAGGTATTTACCACCGTGTGGCTTGGAAAATTGCAATATTGGTTTGTTTTCCACATCAGAGAGCAAGCCTCAATCATCGCTAATGACTTACATGTTGACGTATAATTTGATGATGTCGTGTAGGGTGTGCCACGCTATGTAGTTGTGGATGCCGATGATAACAGGAATTGGTTGTTATCCCTTATCGCCAGAAACACATTTAACACATAGGAACGGAGATAATATCCTCGTCCCAGGTTATAGCAATCTTCGAGATACGATTAAACCACAACTCTACATCGCACAACACTGGTAGTCGAAGAGCTTGTATGAGTGGTGGCTGTGAAGTCGACTGGGAGGAGATAAATTTGTGAGTCACAACTAGACTTATGTTGTAAAATTAAACTTCGAGTGGTGATTTGAGTTAAGATTGTACGAACACCGCTGAGACGGGAAGAAATCCGCTGTGACGCCATGTTGAGGTCTTACTTAATATGCGTATCCGCAGAGGCAGGATACGCTCGCTTTATCTGAACACCTTGTATCGACAATGTTTAGTGTAACTGACAACAATCTTTTTTCCTGCTAACATCAGAGCCAAGTATCATGTGCACGTGTTTATGAATCTGTATCAAATAATCAACTTTTCCTCATGATGTAGTCGGATTTTACAACATGACTGAAAGGGTTTACACACATCACTATGATGTTATCGAATTAACTACACGCTTTTTGTACCAAAGTCACATTCAAGCTGCCCATCCTGACAGTATATGAACTGTTTGCCGACAACCCCCCCCCACACACACACACACCCACTTCCCCATTCTTACTTAACCGAGAATGTGGGCAAATGATGTCAACTTCTTTATCAAAGGGAACACATTCTTTCTCCATTAGGAGCTCCTTATAATAATACATAAACCTACATCCAGACATGTTCCTTTTAGTCACCTAGTTTCCTTCTGAATGAATGGATGAATGAATGGTTTATTCTCATGAAGATCACAATAGTGAACTAGAGAAAAATACAAATGTACAGGTTTGATTATGGGAGAACACGTAGACCTGTTTTCACATAGTTGCTTAGTTTAACAGTAGCACTTTATGCATACAACACATTAGGGATATAAATTTATCTAATGATGGGTAAGTACAATAATATTTGGTAGAAATGAATTTCTTACATTTCTTAAATATGGACAATATAACATGAAGTGAAGTTTATCTCCTATTATAATTTTACACAATGTACATAATCTTTCTTCTTTAATAATATTATACCATCTATCTGTTACTATTGGGAGTTTATGGTTACAAGTTCTAAAATAGGTAAGCCAAATGCGCACATCTAATGGAAGGTGTAATACATAATTTCTGGCATAGGTACATCTTTGTTCGTTTTAGAACAATATCTATATACCACGGTTAAGGGACTGGGATTATGTTATCAATACAGACAAGATCAGTTGAAGAGAAGTGTCGTGGTACAGTCCAGATGGCTGGCCGCATATGTGCAATACAATTGGGAGGATTAACCAGGGGGATTAGCGTCTCGTCAGTATTAGCAATTAAGTGATGCTGGACACATGCATGCCATGACCATGTGGTAATTAATTACCTTTGGAATTAAATGATTATTCAAAACATTGTTATCCTGAATTGGTGACATGTTTAAAGCTAACTAGTTAGAATGGCCAAGATACTTTTAAGAAATACATGTATCACTGAACTAAGTCGACACAGGCTTTAGGATAGAATCTGCAGCTACCACTTTTAGGTAAGGTTGTTTTCGAGATATTGATACTCACAGGTACTATTTAAAGAAGGAGAACATATTTAGGCTCATTTATGGTAAAGGTCGAATAGTCTCGATTTTAACAGATCGAGATAAAGGGAAATTATTCGGTAAGATATAGTATGTATGTATGTATGTATGTATGTATGTATGTATGTATGTATGTATGTATGTATGTATGTATGTATGTATGTATGTATGTATGTATGTATGTATGTATGTATGTATGTATGTACATGTGTGTGTGCGTATGTATGTATGTATGTATGCATGCATGCATGCATGCGTGCGTGCGTGCGTGCGTGCGTGTATGTATGTATGTATGTATGTATGTATGTATGTATGTATGTATGTATGTATGTATGTATGTATGTATGTATGTATGTATGTATGCATGCATGCATGTATGCATGCATGCATGTATGCATGCATGTATGTATGTATGTATGTATGTATGTATGTATGTATGTATGTATGTATGTATGTATGTATGTATGTATGTATGTATGTATGTATGTATGTGTGTGTGTGTGTGTATGTATGTATGTATGCGTGCGTGCGTGCGTGCGTGCGTGCGTGCGTGCGTGCATGCATGGGTGTATGTATGTATGTATGTGCGTGCGTGCGTGCGTGTATGTCTATATGATTGCGCGTGTTTGTATACACACGCACACACATACACACTCGCACGCATATATCTAGCACCTTGTGAATTCATAGCAATAAGATCTACACAACTGCAACCTCTTGTGACAGCGTGATGACGTTCCAGCTCTGCAGCGCGCACTACTCGCTATTTATAGCTTCCACGAGACACAATTAAGGCCTGGTATTTATCTTCATCACCTTATTTTCCTAACGTATGGTAAGTGTGTCTGTCGCAATGTGGGTGCACGTGGACTGTGACGGGTCTTACTGGCCTCTCCGACTTCACGGCGGTGATCAGTCTGTGCTGACCAGCATACACAAATAAGCCGTCCTTTGTGCGCAGATAGGAATATTGAGTAAGTACTTGCGTGTTTATTATATAGGCTTTTAGTCTAAAAATGTTATTGTGTTTGTGGTCGGGGAATTGACTGTATCATCTTATCGATTTTGACTGTATTCGGATGTATTGTGTAGGGATGGATGTATTGTGTATGTAAGGTAGGGATGGATGTATTGTGTATGTAAGGTAGGGATGGATTGTGTATGTAAGGTAGGGATGGATGTATTGCGTATGTAAGGGAGGGATGGATGTATTGTGTATGTACGGTAGGGATGGATTGTGTATGTAAGGTAGGGATGGATGTATTACGTATGTAAGGTAGGGATGGATGTATTGTGTATGTAAGGTAGGGATGGATGTATTTTGTATATCAGGTAGGGATGGATGTATTGTATATGTAAGGTAGGGATGGATGTATTGTGTATATCAGGTAGGGATGGATGGATTATGTATGTAAGGTAGGGATGGATGTATTTTGTATATCAGGTAGTGATGGATGTATTGTGTATGAAAGCTAGGGATGGATGTATTGTGTATATCAGGTAGGGATGGATGTATTGTATATGTAAGGTTGGGATGGATGTATTGTGTATATCAGGTAGGGATGGATGGATTGTGAATGTAAGGTAGGGATGGATGTATTGTGTATATCAGGTAGGGATGGATGTATTGTGTATGTAAGGTAGGGATGGATGTATTGTGTATATCAGGTAGGGATGGATGTATTGTGTATGTAAGGTAGGGATGGATGTGTTGTGTATATCAGGTAGGGATGGATGGATGTGTATGAAATTTAGGAATGGCTGTATTGTGTATGTAAGGTAGGGACTGATGTATTGTGTATGTATGGTAGGGATGGATGTATTGTGTATGTAAGGTAGGGACTGATGGATTGTGTATATCAGGTAGGGATGGATGTATTGTGAATGTAAGGTAGGGATGAATGTATTGTGTATGTAAGGTAGGAATGGATGTATTGTGTATGTAAGGTAGGGATGGATGTATTGTGTATGTCAGGTAGGGATGGATGTATTGTGTATATCAGGTAGGGATGGATGTATTGTGTATATCAGGTAGGGATGGATGTATTGTGTATGTAAGGTAGGGATGGATGTATTGTGTATATCAGGTAGGGATGGATGTATTGTGTATGTATCAGGTAGGGATGGATGTATTGTGTATATCAGGTAGGGATGGATGTATTGTGTATATAAGGTAGGGATGGATGTATTGTGTATATCAGGTAGGGATGGATGTGTATGTAAGGTAGGGATGGATGTGTGTATGTAATGTATAAGGTAGGGACATGTATGTGTATATCAAGATGGATGTATTGTGTATGTAAGGTAGGGATGGATGTATTGTGTATGTAAGGTAGGGATGGATGGATTGTGTATGTAAGGTAGGGATGGATGGATTGTGTATGTAAGGTAGGGATGGATGGATTGTGTATGTAAGGTAGGGATGGATGTATTGTGTATATCAGGTAGGGATGGATGGATGTGTATTGTGTAGGTAGGGACTGGATGTATTGTGTATATCAGGTAGGATGGATGGATGTGTTGTGTATATAAGGTAGGGATGGATGTATGTGTATTGTGATGTAAGGTAGGGATGGATGTATTGTGTATGTAAGGTAGGGATGGATGTGTATGTAAGGTGGGATGGATTGTATGTGTGTATATCAAGTAGGGATGGATGGATTGTGTATGTAAGGTAGGGATGGATGGATGTGTGTGTATGTGGATTGTGGTAAGGTAGGGATGGATGGACATGTAAGGTAGGGATGTGTATCGTGTATGTAAGGTAGGGATGGATGTATTGTGTATATCAGGTAGGGATGGATGTATTGTGTATGTAAGGTAGGGATGGATGTATTGTGTATGTAAGGTATGGATTGATGGATTGTGTATATCAGGTAGGGATGGATGGATTGTGTATGTAAGGTAGGGATGGATGTATTGTGTATGTAAGGTAGGGATGGATGTATTGTGTATGTAAGGTAGGGATTGATGGATTGTGTATATCAGGTAGGGATGGATGTATTGTGTATGTAAGGTAGGGACTGATGTATTGTGTATGTAAGGTAGGGATGGATGTATTGTGTATGTAAGGTAGGGACTGATGGATTGTGTATGTAAGGTAGGGATGGATGTATTGTGTATATCAGGTAGAGATGGATGTATTGTATATGTAAGGTAGGGATGGATGTATTGTGTATATCAGGTAGGGATGGATGTATTGTGTATTTAAGGTAGGGATGGATGTATTGTGTATATCAGGTAGGGATGGATGGAATGTGTATGTAAGGTCGGGATGGATGTATTGTGTATGTAAGGTAGGGATGGATGTATTGTGTATATCAGGTAGGGATGGATGTATTGTGTATGTACGGTAGGGGTGGATGGATTGTATGTGTAAGGTAGGGGTTGATGGATGTGTATGTAATTTAGGGATGGATGTATTGTGTATGTAAGGTAGGGACGGATGTATTGTGTATGTAAGGTATAGATGGATGGATTGTGCATGTGAGGTAGGGACAGATGTAGTGTCTATGTAAGGTAACAACAATCATCTCTTCGGGAGCAAGGAATTCCGCTGGGTAGAAGTTATTTTTCGTTAACTTGTTCAGAGCATTTTTTGTCTCCGTCGTGAATGATGAAAAATATATCTAACTCACAAGTACTTGCCATTCGTGTGAGATTAAGGAGGGTTTTTGGGTGGAAGGTGTTATGTTAGTTGTGATCATTACGTTAACATTTGTTTCAAATTCGTTGATTGGATTCATATGAATGAGGTTATGTTGTGTGAGTTTTTTCGGATCGGCGGGGAATCATGAATAATATTTCATGCCATTTATTTAATATAAAATCAACGGCTTTGACAGGCGTCTAAATATAAACATGTAGTGTTTGTTGGCGTTATTTGCAAGTAACTACCACTTTTGCTAACAACATCAAGGGGTAATATAGTGCCTGTCAGTATTGGTAATGGTTGAGTGACCCGAATAGTGAATTCAACAATCATGTCGACGACCGAGTCACGTTTAATTTTGACTTTGGATATAAATGAACAGGTAAAGTAAACGACTCCAACTAACCTATTAACCTGCCTGGTAATTTGTTAATTAATCGTCTTTTGGATATTGTTTAAATTGACTTTTTTATATTTTCTACCCAGGCAGTTACAGATACAGGACACGTTTCTCTGTGAAGCCGCAGGGGGCGTGATGTTTTTCGAATCTCCCCGTGTCAGAAAGGGCCCCCACACATATTCATATACTGTTGACAGTAAACAAGTGACAGCGATAAAATACTTTTCACACGACCCATCGTATGTGTCCGGTGAATGACCGCAGCTGAAGAAACGCTTGGATCCGCCATGGACAAATGTGCTTACCTGTCAGCTTTTGGTAATGTCAGGGCGCGGCGGAGTAGCCGAGCGGTTAAAGCGTTAGTTCGGCACGCCGGAGACCTGGGTTCGATTCCCCACATATAGGTACATTGTGTGAAGCCCATTTGTAGTGTCCCCCGCCGTGATATTGCTGGAATATTGCTAAAAGCGGCGTACAACTAAATTCACTCACTCGCTGGTCAAAGACCGGATAAAACCTTCAGAAACTTCACTCACGATTCACTGCTGTAGGCAGCGATATTGTCACAATCGTACAATGGACTCTGGATTTAGAAGAGATTTATTGTGAACATTTCTTTTCTCGCATATTAATTTGCTTCGGTGGTTGCATAATGTGTGTTTGAACATCAACCAACGTCATATTGTTAATATATTTTTAAACCATTAATTTTTTATATTATTTGATTGAATTCATTTTCCCTTCCAGCTTCGACTGTCCGCAGCAACTAATCATGTTCCTCAACACGTCAACCCCGACGGGAAACGCATCTGCCTACGTCAACGTGACGTCTTACACCCATAACGACATCGCACACGTCATGACAGTCTACGTCTATCGGATTATCTACATCATCGGCGTCATTGGCAACACCTTCACTGCGGTGGTGTGGGTGCGCTCACGACTGAAGGTTCCACCAGTGTGCTACTTCATCGCCCTGAGTTTGGTGGACAACCTGGTCATCTTGACCCATGCTCTGGAGACCCAACACTCTGTGAACATTCAAGGACTATGTCAGCTCGTCCATATTGTGTTCCTTGCTGTTCAGATTCTAGCGATTCTACTCGTACTGGGGATGTCTATTGAGCGTTATATCGAAATTTGCCACCCAATGCTCGGAGAGAAGATCCTCAGTTTGACACGGACGAGGAGAGTGATCGTACTTCTGGCAGTGATGGCCTTCCTACTGAGCACACTGGAGGGTTACACGTGGGCGATGGACCCAGACTCAGACATGTGTGACTTACGGACAAACCTCCCATCACGTTATCTGTGGATTTATGGATTTAGTGTGATCATATTGTTCTTTCTGACCCCACTTCTGTGTGTTATTACATTGAACGTCCTTGTCATACTCGTCCTCAGCAAGGCAAGACGCCGCAGTTCAGCCTACGGACGATCCATGATGAAACCGGAAAAGGCCAGTTTTAATACGCCCTTCCTGGTTGTCTCCCTTTACCTCGCAATAAGTGAACTTGTGTATGCTCTCGTTCATCTCTCGTATTATCTCGGACCATCAGACAGTTCGACCTGGCTTCACAGTAGCCCTCTGACGGGAAGATGGCGTAGCTACGAAATCAAATCCATACCACTGCTGTGTGCCGATGCAGCGGCATTGTCCAGTTACGCCCTGGACCTGACTGTGTTCACACTGAGCAGCAGAACATTCCGAAAGGCAGCTGTGGGTCTCATTCCGTATAGGAAACGAACAAACCAAGTTTTTCTTAGCAGGAACTTGTTACAAAGGAATAACCTATAAACCTATTTGCCGATCAGAAAGAATATGTGATATGCCATGTTGGAAGAAGTTTCTTCACTGGAACTGGGACCAGTCTTGGTTCGTCGCAATATATCTGAAAAACGCAGATCCGCCATTACATTTTAATTTTGCTCACTTGGTTCATTCTGCAGCCCTAGAAGGTAACGTTTACCAAACAAAGCATTTTGTTCGCACATAAACTCAAATTGTATTAAATGTATGTGTCTCTGAGTGGTTGAGTGAGTGATGTTCGAGTGGTTGAGTTAGTGATGTGTGAGTGGTTGAGTGAGTGATGTGTGAGTGGTTGAGTGAGTGATGTGTGAGTGGTTGAGTGAGTGATGTGTGAGTGGTTGAGTGAGTGATGTTCAACTTCGATTTGAAGATTTCTCCCTATTTAACTTACATTGTGATCAGTTTTGTCTTTTCTCCCAATCGGACCAAGCAGATTAAAAGTTCTGTTCATATTGTGTATAAAGTGTTCGGGTTACACATAAATGAGACATGTCTTTACGAAGTAGTGTAGTTTTAAGAAAAATTCCCAAATAACTATCGACCGCAATCTAACAAAATGAGTGTGTTTGTACTGCGCAAAACCATTGAGGCGACTGAACAAATGTATAAATCCAGAAACGATCGCACGTATCGTTTCATAATTTTTTTTTCTGATCTTCACTCTAGTACTGATCGACGTGCCACTATGAAACGTGAACTTCCACAGCAGGATATGTCTAACACAGACTTGCATGGTATATTTTTGATAAATCCGTCCATGTTTCTTCTGTGACTTTTGAAACCTTGAATCCGTTTCCTCAGTGTTATGTGGTTTAGTTTAGAGTGAGTGAGATGTTGATCGATGTGTCGAGTTCAGCGTTGTGTTCAAATCCATGTATCCCTACAAAACGAACATACATGTACCTTCGAAGTAAAGACCTCTATATCCCTTGTTTTACTTCCAATATCTAAGAAAGTTTATTACAAGATGTGTCCGAGTTAATGTCTTGTAGTGGTCAGGATAAATAATACCCTATGATGCATAAACACAGTCGAATGTGATTAATATAATAGTGTGTAGTGTATTAAAATTATGTAGGTATAATAGTAATAGTAACAGAGTCTTGCCCATTCACTACCCATTGTAGGCCCGAGTTATATCATCATATGAAAAAAATCATGTGCTCTGAACATACGTAGTCGGGCAAATAGTAATTGACATTCCCGCTGTCCACCAACGTCAAATATTCTCTGCTCATTGTCATAAGTTGCATACTAATTTGATTGTAGCAACATATTCGTTGATATTGGAATTCCTAGTTTGTAAAAAGATCAGGACGACTGTTGTAGCGACCAGAACTCGGATACGACCAGAACTGGGATAAACAGTCCACAATTTCGTAAAACCCTATTTACTGCAGTACTGCTCCCGGTTAACTCTAAAACTTAAGGCGATCTATGCGCGGAATATGATTTAGTTAATGTTTTTGTGAGGAGACACTGAAAATTATCAGTTACATATTTCCATATTCCTCTGCAAATATGTAGCTCACATTTAATTTTCCAATATAGGTTGGAAGAACCTTCAGAGTTTCTAATTATTTTTGTACTCGTCAGTTATTCAATCGTTTATATCGTGTGGCAATTCCCACTCAAGCAAACCTCTCATGGTGTACGACGTTTCATTTTCATTAACTGTGTTGTTTTATAATGCAAGCATCATGTAATTTACATAGCGTAATAAATATCATATAATCGGCCACGTTAATGGAAATAGTTCAAACACCCCATTGTGTTCTGAAATAATTCTGATTTTTGTCGTAATAAGCTATGTAACTATGAAAACATTTCCGTATTCAGGTGTTTGTGACCGAATTTGCTGCATTTTAAATGATCCTTTACCTTAAATTTGTTCTGGGGAGGTAGAAGGGACATCTATTTTGTACACAAAAACTAGGGGTGGTGTGTGTGTGTGTGTGTGTGTGTGTGTGTGTGTGTGTGTGTGTCTGTCTGTCTGTCTGTCTGTGTCTGTCTGTCTGTGTGTGAGAGAGAGAGAGAGAGAGAGAGAGAGAGAGAGAGAGAGAGAGAGAGAGAGAGAGAGAGAGAGAGAGAGAGAGAGAGAGAGAGAGAGATTTTGTACATTACAAAATTTAAAAACGGTGCTTAAACATTATGGGAATAATGAGGGCCGGGGAGGGCGGTCATTGATTTTGTACTTTACATGCTGCATGGGGGGTGTCACATACTTTGTACATAAATTGTAAGGGGAGTGGGTCATTCACGTTGCACATGCTTCTCCATAAAGATCAGCATCACACCCCATCAGTTATGAACTATCCCGTAGATAAAAGTGTTGAAAACAAAATATTGTAATATCATTCAGGCTGAAAGGCAAGGGGGGTATGTGTCGGATATATAACTTCCATCACAGAGAATGAAAGGAGGGAAGGGCGTATATCGGATATATTAATAGAAGAGACCAAACCTGTTCCACGTCCATAAGTAATCTCTACTAAAAGCAGAGTCGAATGTACAATTCTGACTATATCATGAGCATGTATTTGTTTCAGCAGTATTACAGGTGTGCGATGTTGTTGGTAAACAGTCATTGATTGTCATCATACGACATCACACAGAATGAAAGTCGGGAAGGGTATATCGGATATATAACTTACACCACACAGAATGAAAGTCGGCAAGGGTATATCGGATATATAACTTACACCTCACAGAATGAAAGTCGGCAAGGGTATATCGGATATATAACTTACACCTCACAGAATGAAAGGCGGGAAGGGTATATCGGATATATAACTTACACCACACAGAATGAAAGTCGGCAAGGGTATATCGGATATATAACTTACACCTCACAGAATAAAAGGCGGGAAGGGTATATCGGATATATAACTTACACCTCACAGAATGAAAGACGGAAAGGTATATATCGGATATATAACTTTATCCACATGGAATGAAAGACGAGAAGGGTATATCGGATATAAAACTAACCCACACAGAATGAAAGGCGGGAAGGGTATATCGGATATATAACTTACACCTCACAGGATGAAAAGCGGGAAGGGTCTATCGGATATATAACTTACACCTCACAGAATGAAAGACGGGAAGGGTCTATCGGATATATAACTTACACCTCACAGAATGAAAGACGGGAAGGGTCTATCGGATATATAACTTACACCTCACAGAATGAAAGGCGGGAAGGGTATATCAGATATAAAAGGCTAACCCCCTACCCACACAGAATGAAAGACGGGAAGGGTCTATCGGATATAAAACTTAAGCCACACAGAATGAAAGGCGGGAAGGGTATATCGGATATATAACTTACACCTCACAGAATGAAAGGCGGGAAGGGTATATCGGATATATAACTTACACCTCACAGAATAAAAGGCGGGAAGGGTATATCGGATATATAACTTACACCACACAGAATAAAAGGCGGGAAGGGTATATCGGATATATAACTTACACCACACAGAATGAAAGACGGGAAGGGTATATCGGATATATAACTTACACCACACAGAATGAAAGACGGGAAGGGTATATCGGATATATAACTTACACCACACAGAATGAAAGACGGGAAGGGTATATCGGAGATAAAACTAACCCACACAGAATGAAAGACGGGAGAGGTTGTACACCGGCTATGTTCTATTCATTCAGACTGAAGGTGAGGGAGGGTGTGCATAGCATGTTTAATATATACTCATGCCAATAATGGTTGTCACCCCCCTCCCTGCCCCAACCCCCCACACCCTCTCTCCAATTAAAAAAACTGAAGGGGGTGACAACCATTATTGGCATGAGTATATTACAAGTCAGTGTGCGAACTGGTTTCCAAATTTTGTTACCCAGTCGGGCTACCTATGCCTGAAAGTTACTAGCCCACAAAATAATTCACTAGCCCGAAATTTGAATGTAGAAACTGAGCAAAAGATTGCAAAAATAGATGAGAATAAGATAATGTCGGCATGGCATGGGTTTATTATAACTTAACAAGTCGGAGAGAGTGAAATATTTACAAAATGACCCTGTGAATTGGGTGTGGGATGGGTGGGGGCGGGGAAGAGAATGGTTTCTTTTGTTGTATTGGATATGCTGCATTATGCATGCAGATGCAAGTCACATATATCTTCATAGCTGCTTAAAAACCTGTAACATTTTTTTGGTGTTTGACACAACCTACCTACCGTGTGTGTGTGTGTGCGTGTGTGTGCGTGCATGTGTGTGTGCGTGTGTGTGTGTGTGTGCGTGCGTGTGTGTGGTTATAACTATAACTCTTATTCACTTTTATATTTTATTTGTACCATCAAGTAATTAGTGTCTCGTAGGCCAACTGGCTGGGTGCTCTTTTTAATGTATCATACTATGTCTATACAATTTGTACCACAGCATGTGACACTTTGAGAAAATAATTTCTTCTTCTTCTGGCGAGGTGGGGTATCCTAGTGGTTAAGGCTCCGAAGACCCAAGACCCGGGTTCGCTGTGATATTGCTGGAATATTGCTAAAAGTAACATAAAACCATACTCACTCACTCACTCGCTCTTCTTCTTAAGTGCCTTAATCATAAGCGCATGCTCACACACCATTTCACTTTAGACATATATACGTGCTGGTATTTCTATGACCGAACCCATATATAGGCATTTTTCTACCGTCTATTACTGAACATTCCTATGGTTGATGATTTGCACTGGATATAAGTTGGATATCCCATATATTTCCACATACCTGCTCCTGATCTGCATAACAAATATTTCATTGAAGAATACCAAGCAGTCCAAACTACTCATTATCACTATTCTTTCACAATTTATAGATTTCTATATTGTAAGAGAAACAATTAAAATCACATCCAGGACCTACACTTTTACCGAATATCTTAAGATATTCAATATCAGTAACATATGTGCCACTATGCTGCTTCATGTCATACCCAAATATATTTAGCCTTGTAGGGTATCTGACAAAAAAAAAGAATCTTAAATATAGTAAGCAATAAATACACAAATGCTGGTCTACTAATGTTTCATTAATTATTATGTGCATTATATACGAAAACATGCCATATCTTAAAAGCTATACATTTTCACTGCTTTAAGATGGAATAACATTTGTCCCACCTGTCCCTGTGCACATGGGTGATCCAATGCTTAGTACTCTTGGCCATGTGACCTCTGATACTGAATAAATTTCTTGTTCTTGTTCTATTTTTATTGTTCTTTAATACATAAGTTTTGAAGAAATCAGCTTTAGAATGGTATGCACTTAAAATATTGTATAGAATGAAATGAATGTTATTTCCACAGAAAACATCCAGAATGTTGCTTAATTGTTGTGATTGAGCACACAGTACATGACATTGTTGTTCATTTTAACAATGAAATACTACTCAAAAGTGTTTTTGTTTTGGAAGCTGCATCATAGGTATGTCATACCATTAGCCATGAGGAAGTTAATGGTCATGATAGTCATGCAATATAAGAAACTTTAGACATGTGTTGCAATCTAAGAGCTCAATACTTCAAGCATATTCCTATAACCTATTAAGATTGTTAGATAGGTTAGGAAATGGCAAGCATTACTTTTCATAATCACCTTTCCCATCTTCAGTTATAATTGCACACTTATAACTACATGTATATTAATCATGTGTTTTCTTCAATGCTTTGTTCTTGACAAACAAGTGATAAAACCCCACATATATAATATATTTTAATTCATTTTATCAAATTTAACAAACAAAATCACTGTCAGTCTATCAAACAAAACTTTTCAAGGTAAGAGCTTACTCCACAGTCCTTCTTAAATTTACTTGTCCAATAGTATACATATTAATCCAAATTCATATTTAATACCTTAATGGGTCACACTTTTCAACCTATTGTATACATGGGTTAAAATCAAGACAACATTATCTGTTTACATGCATTGCAAAAATTAAGAAATTACCTAACCATATACATTCCCATCCAAATTCATTCACAGATTTACAAATTATTTCACAAATATTATTATTTCTCCCACAAAATGTCCTATATGAGATAACCACCTTGCTCAAATAAACAGTAGGTTCTCACACCTTTCATAGAGTCAGTTCCTCCTTGGAATTCTTGTTTCAACAATCTGGTGAGCAGCAGCAGATCTGAACAGACAGCTACTCAGTAGCAATTAGGGAAGCATCTGGTGACATGTTTATGGCAAGTCTGCACAGTCAGTGCTAACTCAAGCTGGTCTCTATTCAGTTGATTCAGCCATTAACAGACAGTTTTAACCAATTCCACTTTCACCA